TGTTGTCATACTCTCATTAAGTTACAATGTTCAGCTGCTCAAGCAGAATGTTAATGTCATCTAGCATTTTAGCAAGGTATCTCTGGCTAAAACCAGCTACGGTTAAAGTTAGTGAGTCCATGCTAACGTACAAACCTAAACAGCAAACTGTTCTCGCGTCTTGTACAGTGTAGGGCAAAAACACATAAACAAAGGTCTACATTTTAGTTAAATGTAAATTAATATAGGCTAATCTTACCCTGCGGTACATGAACAGTGTTGATCCGGGATTTTTTCATCTGCAATCGTGATGACCTTAATATGAGACTTCTCCCGCTTGCATTGTGATCTGTAAAACCCTCGCTTCCAAATTAATACCCACAATATTTATTTTAAAATCTTTTATATATCCCTCCATGGCATATTTAAGTACCACTTGAATGGTGGTCTTTCTGTGTCCAAAATTTATCAAAAAGATATAGGGACAAGGTTTTCACACTGATAGCTGTCATTGTAAGACAGTTAGCAACTCCATTTGTTTGTCCGTGTTCGCAACAGTAACTAAGGGGGGCGGGGCTTACCGATAGGTCAATTGTGTAAATTAGGAGGCAAGGCTATCTGTTTATCCAACCAATGGCAGACAGGGGAGTGTTTGGGGAAACCTGTTTGAAGACAAGCATTAAAGCCCAAATTATACTTTACCCGCACAACTTAATTTTCATGATCAGGAGTGTCTGTGGACATCCGCGCCTGCGCTGTTGTACGCACACCATTTGCAAAGAAAGAAAAATTGGGCTGCATGCGGACAGTGTGCGTACAACAGTGCTGGCATGAGGTGAACATTGAGAGAGAATAGTCCACTAGGTGGTACTGCGCATGTGTTTAATTTGTTGATCCACGCTTGAGTATACTGTAAAAGCTGCATGGACATGGTTGTGCACAGAAAAAGAAGTACACCTGGGCCTTAAAGGCCAAAGTATACTTCGGTTTTTACGCATACGCAAGGGTCTGCGTACAGTGCACATAACGTACATTTGTACGCACAGGTTGCACATGCGCACTGACTTGGTTTTGCACTAATCAGTTGCTCCGCAAGGTGGTAGCGCTGGCCCAGGCCACTGTTTCACAGTAGAAATGAAACCAAACAGACAGAAAAACAACAACAAAATAGCGAAGACTGCAACGACAACAGATGCCTGCTTTGACTAGCACTTGTGTGAGGAGGTTTAAAAAAAGTAAAAAGACATTTTTATCACTCATAACTTCAAGAGAAAAATACAGCAGACGCTGGACAAAGATGAAGCTTTCTAGAGCACCTACATCGACCACCTGAGCACTCTATCAAATGGAGTTTGATACTTTGAAATGCTATGCATTCGACTGTAAGCATACGCTAGCATGTGCATACAAAAACGAAGTATACTTTGGGCTGCATCTGAATTTGCATACTTCCCTACTATATAGTAAGTGAAAACAGTATGTGAATAGAGTAGTATGTCCAAATTCACAGTATACATAAAACAGTAGTCCTAAAATTGATGATCTACTACTTCCGGTGACATTCTGAAGCGTGCATCAGATGAACACTTTATTATCCCATGATGCCACGGGAGAGAATTTGGCAGTTAAGCGACGCAACTGACGCTGTAGGTCACATGCCAATAACAACAGGACGAAAGTAATGTTTGGATTAAATTCATACTACATGCCTGCACACGATATACCGCAGAACTTACACACTATATATAGATGCTTGTTTAACGGTCGTTTAAGTAATTATTTATTCAAAAGAAGTACCCATGGTATATGATTTTGGACATGTGTGTTCGACCTCAGGTGTGGCTGGCCCTATCAATGAGATTTGCTGTTTGCAGCTGAGAAAGAGGTGAAAATTGAGCCAGAAAATCGGGACTTTCTGCTGCCTATGGTGACGCTCACATGGTGTTTGCTGTCTTTATAGCAGATTAAGTGGAATAGATGCAGAATTTGTCAAATAAACAGACTTTCAGACATTTACATGTAGCAAAAGACACACTTTTCATTTAGTATTATGGCTTGATACTGCACCTGTATGCATAACTGTTCGTTCTTCTGCACTGGAAGCTCCTGTCGTCAAGTCAAATTCCTTGTGTGTGTAAACATACTTGGTAATAAAGCTCTTCTGATTCTGATTCTGATAAGAATAGTTCAACATATGCAATCTAACATTAAGATTACATGGAAAGCATTTTTATTCTTATAAAGACACAGATTGAGACTGTCCTGAATGAGACCACCAAAATAACTCTAGTGATCAGGATCATCTGCTCAAGAACAAGTCCGCAGGTGTTACCATAGCAACCCAGACCTCCATTCCCTTCCTCAGCATCACCCTCAGGGTCTTCCAGCTGACAGTAAGGTGCCTTAAAGTCCGCATGAAATCAAAATGGACTTTATTTACTTTACTAGCGCACATTGCTAGTAATGATGTGAACAATTAATCCGTCTCTGGAATGGCATTCCTTCTCTGATGACGTCAGTTTGACGGCTTGGGCAGAATATCCTTAAACACACCCCTGCAACCGTTAAGATTGCTATGAGTGAGAGACAGAGAGGAGGAGCGCAAACATAAAACCATGCCCTCTATTCAATATTCCGTTTCAGCTGGAAATACGTCACTACACTGAAATAAAGTCGGCAGCAACTTCCGGTTCACGCGGACTTTAAATCACAGCTCAGGCGAGAGAGACACATGCTTCTGAAGTTTGCTCCTCTGAGTCATTCAGGGCTTTTCATTTCTGTTCCTCACCTAAAAGTTCTGTCATGTTACATTATATCACAGCGACCGCCTCTGATCCACAAGACTTTTGCATGTTAAGCCTTACTTAGGATTGGAATGAAGTCTTCATATGATGACTAAATGCTCATTACGTGAGTCATATGTTGTCTTTTGAGAAAATAGCTTTGAAGTATAAAAACATTGTAATTTTTAGAATTCAAAACTTCCTTTCCAGTCCAAAAAGTGCATTTATTGAAACTAAACAGCTAAAATGACTTACTCTATGATATGATATTGACAGTGTCATTTTATTAGTAGTATTTTAGTCATATTTATTAGTAGTATTTCTATTCTAGTATAGTTTATATTAATACTATATTTTCTGTTTTCATTTTAATTTGTATTTACTAATTTTATTTACTTTTATTTACATTTTATTATTTTTTATGGGTTGAATTTATTTTTATTTCAGTTTTAGTTTTTATTTATTCGTAATTTTAGTGATTCAGCTTAAACTTATTTCAGTTAGCTGCTAGGTAACATTCCTAATTTTCCTATAATTAACTCAATATTCAATTTTATATTTAAGTTCAATTTCAATGATTACCAATGTTTTTATTCGTGGTTTTATTTATTATATTTATAACCTTGGTTACTAGTTCATGAGAAACGTCCTTTAGTAGCAACTAAACTGAATACAGTGATTATGTTAATGTGATTATGCTCATAATTAAAGCAACCAAACCTATTAAGCTCATCGACAGGTTTGAAAACATTACATGACATTTCTGGAGCTCATGCAACAGCTTTAAATAGACGTAGACATTAGGCATTATGTTTTTATTATTATATATGTATGGAGGCGCATACTACCCACTGAGCCACATTTATTAATTTATTTATGCTTAATTATGCTTATTTATGCATTCATTCAGCATTTATGGAATTTATGCACAATGTCCAAGCAGTATAAATCTGTAAACTCCAACAAAACTAATCATACCATGTACCGGCGAACCAATTCAAGTACTACACAACTCTTACTGAATACCTAAAATAATAGCAAGTAGCATGTAAAACAGATTGAAGAGGTTTGTCCATATCATGCATACAGTGGGTACGGAAAGTATTCAGACCCCCTTAAGTGTGTACATTAATGAGGAAAAAAAATTAACTTAAATGATTTTAGCAAATGGCTGCAATATAACAAAGAGTGAAAAATTGAAGGGGGTCTGAATACTTTCCGTACCCACTGTACATCTTAATTTGCTGAATCCTTAAGCTAGTTATTAACAATAATCAGATGTATGTGTAAATGTAGCCAGTGATCATTTTAGTCTGATATTAACAGTTTGTGCAGCACATTTCAGCCTGGATTATTTTATGAATCTGTCACAATTTAATACAGGCTCTGCAAAGAGGGTGTTATTGAAGGATGGGGAGGTAAAAATTATATTTAACACGACAGCAAACCCACAGTCAGCGCTGCTGCTCTTTACACATACAAAGAGAGCGTCATAAAGACGAACCAGCAAAAAATGGTCTGTTTAATGACAGAGGGTTGAAAATAAAAACTAAACTATATTCATTTTGATGTCATCCCATGGGACTGTACGTTTTTTTAATGAGGAAAACTGACTACACTATGAACTAGGCTATGAATGTTCTTTCGCCTCAAAGATGCATTTCAAGAAATCAGCAAGGCCTCAGTAAAAAGTTCTGTTCTTTGTCTCATCTTTGTTTTGAACCCAGTTTGTGATTGTAAGACACCTACCAAAATGGAAAGTGCCACAAACACGCAAGAAACAAAGCCACATCAACACACGCATTCGCACACAAAAGAAAGTCGACATCCTTCCCACACCTGAGGTGGTGAAGCTCTCACCTCCCGATCGCATACAGGTGTGAAAGCAAATACAATGGATCTTTATTCAGGCTGAATCACGTGAAGTCTCATCAAGCCCGACGCAGGTGTGCAACAGACTTTCGGATCATCAGACACTTAGGTGGATATTTGATCTAATCATTCCATCAAACAGCATGAGAAGGAAGAACCTAATCGTTCACTTCCAGAGAGCATCAACAAGGGTACACATCTGTAAGAGGCCTGTGAACTTGTGTCATTTCATTAGGGAAATCAGCGTCGTATTTAACCCCGCTCGGCAGCAACACCAGCCGCTATATATACGAGCCGCACAACCCCTCCGTCTCATTTTATGCAGTGCTGCATCATAAGGGAAAAAGAGGATAGAGTGATGTTTACCTATTCACACCTCTGATGAGTGCAGGAGAATTGAATTCATGCTGAGAGTGGAATAATTGATTTGGACGGCAGCCGCGCCACGAACATCTGGGGTCGTTCTCACTCCGGCACACCTTCTGATGGCATAATAACATCATGTCATTTACACCAATATTTCCCCGCAAATGCATTAAAAGCGTTCCCCGATGAAGCGAATTAGCCTTTCTTTACAGTTGTTGTGTGACTTTGATAATCGGATCTTCAGATATATTATTTGTCATCTTTAATTATCTGATTACACCAAACATCAGAGTCAACATCGCATTTAGTGGGATTATCACTTGAATGGAAGTGAACGCGATGCAAAACATCTAAACGGGGCGCACCGGCCGACGTTTGCGCCCTAACTTGGGGCTCTTTCCTTTCTGGCATCTGGTTCACTGAGTAAATTGGCTGCACAGACACCCTTCCTCGCTCTGCTCGGTTCTGTGGCGCTCTCATTTAAAAAGTGAGAAATTATAATTATCAGAATGATGCTTTTAATGATGCGTTAATTAGACTCCTACAGTGAGATTAGCAAGTGCTTATGAATTATTAACTGTGAAGTCTTTCCAGAATTTTAACAGGCAGGATGCACTAAATTAGCTTTTTGGTGATTAGCGTGCTGGAAAATAACACAACAGACTGTGGTGCATATGCTTATGATTACAACTTTAAGTGCATTTATTTAACTCTATCACACACCGGCAGTTTCGTGCCAAGATTCTGTGCAACCAACTTCTCGGGCAAAGAGCCTCGCGGATTCCTACTTTCTCATTAACAGAAACATATGATGAATCATTCTCTGCCAAAAGTCTTTTTTAGCACGCGACTGATATATATGGCGTGCGCTCTTTCTGTTTGGTGTTTTCGCTTTGATGCTTTGTCAAGGTCACTGTAATGATGTATGTGCTTTCCTTGCTAATGCAGTCGTCAAATCTTCTGCTACACTCTGTCAACAGCAGTGAAAACAATGAGGATCGGTAGCACACCTTACCGAACCCCCTGCGAGCGAGCGCGGAAGACGTTAAATAAACAAGCCTCCCCGCAGCCAATCCCGGCCGGTGTTACATGAGCCAAACCTAACAGAGCATGGTAAAACTATTTGGGTAATCCCTTAGTTGTAATAACTAAGTCAACTGTTTTGAATTGCGAGAGCAGCCTCTGGCCCAACCGCAGTGATCATGGCCACCCACTTTAGGCCCGCTTGCTATGCTTGGTCTGAGCTGTCCAAACTTTCCGATGGAAATAAGCCTGCTAATTTGCAGGACGTGGGTACCACACCCCGCTTGGCATGCATGAGTGCACCGTGCACCCAGGAGACGTCACACAAAAGACAATTTAAGGGGAAGGAAGAAGCCTGCTCTTTGCCCGCAGTCCATTTTAAACAAATAACCAATAAACAACCCATGTCCAAATGGCCAATTTAGACAGCGCCAGTACCAATTGGTCTGAGGACTATTACAGTGAACAAAGGAGACGCCTGATTGACGCCTCAATCTGTGATGCCATAGGGAATGACTGAGTTTTTGGACAAGAGAGAGATCTTACTCTTGTTAGTAATGCATATGAGATAATCAGACTGCCAATTATTATGGCAAAATAAACCCAACACGAAGCAAGCAAATGGGTCTTGTATCATTCTGAAAGGAGTTTTTACACCTGAAAAATAATTAAATAAACTGACATGAAATATTGATTTGAGTGGACAGTGAAGAAGATCGGTTGCCTGAGACGGTCGGCAAAAATAACTGATCACAGAATGCCGCAAATGACTAAAGAAAATCAAGTATTCCAGAGGGTTGTGAAATATTTTGCAATAAAATCAGTAATGAATCAGTGACTGGGCTTTTCAATATTTTTTAGAAACACAAACATGCAGTCAGTCATCAGGGTTTTTCCTGCATAGAGAATTATGAGGCGGCTGCCTCCGCCAAACTTTGAGCCGCCTCTGGTTGTTGACAAAATTCAGGCAGGCAGTCACGTGCAAGCATCACTGAACAGCGTCCATTAGAGCTTTTAGTTCATATTTGGAAAAATACTGATATTTTTATACAATTTTACTTGATATTTCTTTACACAGAATCATAATTTCTATTCATTTTCCACTGATTTACGCAATCTGATGAGCATTAACTCAAATTACGTGATCATCTCTGTATGAATGAATGAATGAATGAATGAATAGAGGAGACGCCGGTTTTGTTTACTACACACATACTGAAGCGCACGTGACACTCGCTGTGATTGTCATTTAGTGAGACTCGCTGTCTGTCGTCTCACTAAATGAGGACATAAATACATGAACAATATCTCCAGAACTGCTCTGCTCTTCATGAGTATTTTACGTTTCATTTGAGTAAAACTGGCGTCATATCATATACACACAGAACTGTAAAGGTATTCACGGCAACCCGTCAAAATAAAAGTTCGGTTTAACTTGAAGACACTGCCGCAGAAATATATTACTATGGTTCAGCAGAATGTACATACTCCTACTAGGCTACTATTAAAATTATTAAAACTTTATTTTTTTAAGCAATTTTCACAGAACATTTCTTCCATTTTTTTATTTTAATAGGCCTAGTAAATCCCCTTTTTTTGCCAAAATAACTAAATAAAGTTTGATTTTCAATAATTTAAAGATAAATGAAATTAATGTTTTATGCCTCATTCATTTAATAACCAGATACACAATGCAGAATTTCTGAGGAAAAAGAAAACATTTCATAAGTCTATTTTAAGAATAAATGTGAATAAATTAAGTTGTTTTTATGCATTCAAATTATTAGACATGCTACAACAAAGAATTTGGTAACAATAAAACATATGGTGAAAGAAAATAAAACATTTCATAGGGCCCTAAACTTTTAGTTAAACTTTTAATAAACTAATGTGAAGTTGTAGAAGTTTCATGATTTTAATTAATCAGACATGCTTTTTGATTAATAAAATGCAATTTAACCATTAAAAAGGATTCCAGAAAAATTTGAATGGAAAAAATGGAATTTGGAAAAAAAATAAAACTGAATTTGGGAAAAAATAAATCAGATTTCATAGGGCCCTAATTAGCACACGATTTAGGGGTTTTGATTTGGGGTATTTTCATAACAATAAGTTATGTCTTAGCTTCATGCTAATGTTAGCTCTAATGCACCTGTTACCCTGCTGCGATTGCCTTTCATGATGTAGTCTACCAGAAGAATTCACGTAAGGTTGTAAGAAAATGTTTTGTTTTCTAGAAAGACACTTTACATGGATAAATGTATATTGGATCAAAGCGATGTGGACCAGGAGACTATAAGGAGTGGATAAAGATTTTCAATTTCATGAAGTGTTTAACAACTTAATGTTATGTTTATGTTCACCTATAAAAGGGCTTTTAGCTGGTATGATGCATTTAATTTAATGTTCAACGGGTTTGTTTTTGTAAAATGTAAATTTATAGTTGTAATTTTTTTCAATTATTATAACACCTAAAATATGTTGCGTGTAAAAAGTGTTGGTTTCAGCCAGTTGAAGGGTGGGTACATTGTGTGCACATGATCAGAATGGTAGGCCTACCACCTCCGCCTCATTTTAAGCCAGGAAAAACCCTGGTCATCTACTGTTTTTCAGGATCCTGGTTGTTGTTTTTTGGTAACGATTTCAATTTTGCATTCTTAACATAAAATAATTAATAATATAATATAATAATAGTAATAATATTATAAAATGAATAGTTATTATTTTGTAAAATATAGAAATATTATTAAATATACTATTATAACTCATATATATATATATATATAAAATGCTAAATATTTATTATAAATAAAATATTTAATATTTATATATTTAATGTAGTTTTTAATATATTTTTATATTTATTTTTACAACATATTTTTTTATTATTTGAGTGGGTGGGTGGGTGTGTATGAGTGTAAAATTTAAACAATATATAACAATAATAAACAAGCCTCTTATATAAATATAAATATCTAAAAAAATATATATTCATGTATTTATGTAAATATAAAGACACAAAAATATATTTATATATACAGTTGTGAACCCTGTTACTTTTATGTAATGTTTTTACATAAAACATGTTTTTGAGTTATTCAGATTACAGGATAGAATTATACAGATTCCTGTGATTCAGAGTCACCGGTAACATGCCTGTGGCAACAACGGATTAACGGCTTGTTGTGTGGTTATTAAGTACCTCCGTACATAATGCAGTGGATCACTGTACAGTGCTCAAAAAAAATAAAAAAATTAATTCATATCAATTTCCTCTCTGACAACGTGTGACTTATGAAGTGCATTTTAATGAACCATTGTTTCTTTGATATTTCCTGCTATATGTTTTTCTCCACAGGGCATCAGTAAACGCGTTAGTGGGCTGGAGGGTAGAAAATAACACAATGCGATGTATTTTATGAAGAGACCTCCGACAATCGCACCGAGCGAATACTCATCGGCAGGTTTTGTTTTTGCACAGGTTATGCAAATCAGTCCTCGTTGACTCACCAACTCGTTATAACATTAATTAACACAGTGCTACCTTGCTCAATATTTGGTAACAGAGACACTGTCTGCGGATGTAAAAATTTACAGGATTCCAATTTTAATGAGGGAGCAGAGCACAGGTGTGCTAATGAAGGGATTGGCTCATTTGAATAAAACCATCCTGTTTGGGAGAAAATTAATTAGCAACACTGGAGTAAACGCTGACACCTTTGAACAGAGATGGTGAAATTATACCATAATGCAAATTTGCCTTTGATGACAAAGGTGCTCCTGCCTTATTATATCTGTTTAGTAAAAGTTTGTTAATCAGCATTAATCACTGTATTATCGTCTACATTAGAGAGGTTAGTTACTTCAGATGTTTCTAACTGTGGGGCTGAATTGCACTAATAGTCACAAGGTCGAGTTCAAAAAGCAGTATTTACCAACAGCTTTCCATCCTCATGTTTAGTCTCCATTTGAGGCTAAATTTACGTGATGCGCGTCTCAATTTTCCTTCCTGGATTACCATGTTTAAGCCTTATTTTCAGCAGACAACACAAGCTAACTGCAGCTTATTAAAACGTATGAGGTGGAATTTTACAGCGACATTCAAGACGGAGCAGATAATAGGGAAATACCATGTCTTTTCATGAAGTGTACAGGAACGTAGTCTTAACCCGAGGCCTGATATTAAAACGTTCTTCTGCGCTTAAAGCAGCAATTAAGGAGCGTTGTGAAACAAGTGTTAGATACTCAAAAGTCTCTCAGAAGATACCTCCGAGTTTATCACTTTGAATACCCACTTGAGGCTAATGCTTTTCATAGCTGCTGTTTCATCCGCTCTATCTTGGTGGGACCACACATTTTCCACATCTACTGAAAACTATGGCTATAAATCTAAAGCTTTACATAGAGCTGGCCTTTAGCCTCCAGCTAAATAAATACCATCCTGCACAGCCTGAAATAAATCAGTGACTGGGCTTTTCTGTACTTTTTAGCAACACAGACCAGCAGTCAGTCATGTGCTTTTTCATGATCCTGGTTGTTGTTTATCTTGCAAAGATGTAAATTTTTGCTTTGTTAAACAAAGTAATTAATAATATAATAAACAACAAAATATTATATTGTAAATAAATAAATATTATATTATAAAATACATAAATATTATAAAATATAGTATTATTCCTACAATGTTACATTGAATATTATTACATATAAAATTATTAAAATAACTGCAATTAATTTAATACTTTTTTCAACTAATCTTTAAGAAAAAGGGGGGGGGGATAACTGCTATGTGCAAAAAACTTTCATGAGTATGCACAGAATTTGCTGAATTTACTTCTAAACCCTTGATGAAGTACATTCTATTCTACATTCGCCATGTGGCATGATTAATGGCATTGATATTTCTCAGACTAAAATCAACTGCAAAAAAACAACTTTCTTGGTTATTGTTAAATATAATCAAACCTACAAGGAGCAATGTTCTTGGTACTTATAGCACTTCCAATATATATATTTATTTAAAAAAACGCTAAAAATTAAATGTGAAAAATGAAAGCTAAAAATCTGTAAGCTGTATGTATGTATATATATATTTGTGTGTGTGTATATATATATATGTGTGTGTGTGTATATA